CTAGCGAATTTGTAAAAGGTATGGAAAAGCTGGCAAAGTTGTCAGGATTCGATTCCCAAAATGCTATAGTATTTAGTATATTTAATGGAGAAATCAAAGTATTAAAGAAAAAATTGGATGAACATTATTCCCAGATAAAAAAGCTAGAACGAACTGTAGATTAGATAGGAAATTATGTAGAAAAGCAGACTGGTTTAGAACCTAGCAAAGAACTAACAGATTCATCCGATTCATCTGAGACAGATTATGTGATACACGACTCAGAAAAGAAGGTTTACAAAGTAAAATATGTGAAGAAAAGATCTGGTAATAAGAAGGTAAAACGTAAAAGATATCCATTCTGATCTGTTAACATTAAATCAACTAATTAATGAATCAGACAATACTATTTACACATATACTGTTATAAGTATCATATGATATTACTCCCTTAGAGTTCAGTGTCAGAAGACATCCAACGGAAATCCACGTGATGTCACATGATCACGCAGTTATATTCGGGCGATCTGATTGGCTAGAGTATATGTATATTTTTTTCCCGAATTTTGAAGGATAATATCTCAACATTCACTGATTGGATTTATACGAATTTAGGCTTGTTGGAAAGATCAGAACCTGCTGAATTCAGACGTTCAATCTTCATCAAAATAGGATTGGTAGATGTCAAGATATTTGCGTTCAAAGATCGTTACGGCAAATCAGACTTTTATGGCTGATTATCATTATAAGAAAATATACTGCGTCACACACATGACGTTGTGAATTCGGTTCACATTTAATGATCATGCAGTTATATTCTGGCGAACTGATTGGTTAAAACATAATATAGAGTATATTTTTTTTACCTGAACTTTGAAAGATAATATCTCGACAACCACTGATCAGATTTATGCGAATTTAGGCTTGTTTGACTGCCCTTATCTTATACTATATGTAAAATAAATTTCAGATAGATCTGGTATTTGCTTGCGAAAATATTCTGTCACAAATTCTTGATATTTTCTTTCTACAATTCTAAGGATATATTATCTCATACAGATCAAAGAAGGATATTCATTCAAAAAAATATTTGAACTATCACTATAATATATAAAACCTTTTCTATTATAGAATCAGAAAATCATAAATTGTGTCGTCAAGTTGTAGATTTGCATTATGAGAATACATATATACGGAAAATTACAGAAATGCAAACTGAAATAATATCATGAAAACAGCAAATTATCAATCTAAAAAATGAGAATATAAGGCTTAGTAAACTTGTATCTTTATCTAATAAAAGCAAGAATAGGACTGAGATTAATATACAAGATGAGATATTAAGTTCAGATAAAGAATATTATTCAGCAGATGAAGGACTAGAATTTGATCGTTATTGTTATATCTGTAAACAAAGCTTTAAATATCCTTATATACTTAAACGACATCATCAAATGAAAGGTAAATGTGGAAAAAAAATAGTTTAAGCCAATGTTAGCTGAATAGAAACCATATTTTTTTTACTAATCTGATCACTTACTTGACTAACCTGATCACTTGTTGGACTAATCTGATTACTTGTCTGACTAGCCCGCTTACTACACATATTTTTTAACTTCAAGTGTCTTTTAAGAATAGAGGGATTATACATGAAGTCTAAATGGATCATTTCGGATATCCGAAATGGTCGAAATGGTCAAAATCATTTCGACCATTGAAGGCTAAAGTCGCGAAA